AACCTTGAGCCAGTCAGGATCGAACTCCTGCATTCTCACCACTGCACTACCAGGGCTCTAGGATAGCCTTCAATTTCTCCAATAAATAATAGAAAATGGCCAGTAAGAAATTCTTTATATAAATAAATGTGATCAATTTTCAAAAATTTAAAGGGGTTCTGCTCCATGCTGAAGAAAAAGTATGTAGTAACATTAATGTCACATGTTGGTATGTCACTTGTAAATTAAAGATACATTCCTATTGAAATGGCAAGAAAAAAGAAGATATCTCAATATTATGCGCTAAACTGATTTCATATTACCCTGGGGTTTTTATACAAAACAAATATACAAATTCAGATTTTTGAGATGATGGCTTTAAATATTAAATCCTGTTGGATGACCAAATCCATGATGGGTGTGAAAAATGTAATTGATTTTGCACTCAGGATTTAAAACAAGCAGGGAAACCAGTTTCCAAATAGACATGATTAAGGTGCCTTAGAAGTTCATCCTTTCCAAGCACTGGGTAAAAGATTATACTATTTAAACAGCAAGAAAAAAGAGGATTACCTAAAGTTCAGAGATAGATCAGAGTTACATTCTATACGAGTACAGCATCCAGCCCATTAATTTAGGCCTGATGGAGAAAAAACTTTTTAGCTTAACAAAGGAATTTAGGGGAAAAAACTTTTTGGTGTTGACACTGGGCACAGCCAGACAGCTGTCTTAAAAGTCAAATCCACCAAACTGTCAAAAAAGTATGTTTTTTTTTAAAAAAAATATAGTTTCTTGGTGGTTGAATTTAATTCTGCCTCAGTAACAAGACAGGTCAGTGAGTGGTGCTATTCTTAAAGTTTTAATATGGAGAAATTAAAGAAGGTTCTTCAAGTGATCGGGAAAGCTCCCATTTCAACTTGCATCCCTCTGCCACTCCTGCTGTGCTATTTTTCAACGTACGTTTAGTGCTCTTTTAGAAGAAAGCTAGACCCATGCTCAGAAATATCTTGACTAATAGGCCTCAAACATAGAGAAGGGGTTGTGAAGAGCCTTGGGACATTCTCTCCTGCTTTACTCACTATTCTGCGACCTCTTGGAGTCATGGTGTAGGGACATAGAGCCAAGTTGGATGGAGAAATTGATAGAGAGATAGCTCTGTGCTCAAAGTGTGTTAGATCACATCCCTAGTCAAAACTGGATTGGAAGAAAAGGTGAAAAGACTACTTTGAAACTGAAAAAGCTAGAGATAATTTCTAGCTTCCTCAATTGTGGGCTAGGGGTGAGATGTAAGTAAGGTCATGAGGCCCAGTGGTGGGTTCCAACCGGTGTTACCACCAGTTCTTTTCACGCACACGCTTTGTGTGCAATCGCCGCGAGCATGCTCGCTTTGATCACATGCGCGCCAAACTTGTGCTCCACGCAAGCGCACTAGATTTCAGCCCAGCTGAGGTGCAGCAATCCACTCTGCCGTGCCTATCAGCTGGGCTAAAAAATGACAAATAAAGGGTGGTATAACGCGGGGGCGGGCAGAAGGGCCCAGCTCACAAACATAAGTATGAAACAAATTGTTTTATCCCAAGCTTGAGAGAAACTCTGGCTGATTCAAGATCTGAAATTGTGAACATTTGACCTGTCTCAAGCAATGCACTCTTGTTTGGTAATCTGTGGTTGGGCTGCTTTACTCCCAATTTGTCTTTCCTTGTCAGAAGAACATCAGGACTAGTCATGGAGTTGCTTTAATTGATTTTGATTGTTGATGGTAGAGTGTTGAAAGGAAAGAAACAATAAAGCCAGATCATACAGAATAAGACTCCTCACAGCTGAAGGATAGCCCCCCCCTCCACTACAGATTGCTGTTTTCCTTATTTTTCTAAAAACACACACCTTTGCTATGGGGAAATTATATCTCATGATGGATACAATGCTCGGTTTCAAGAATTTGGAGCTTTGCTTTAGTTTGGTTTCATTTTTGTTTGCCAGATTAGTCATGTAAAGTCAGGAGGTCTATGAAGTGCCAGATTGTGGTTGGGGGAAACTGACAATTTTGAATTTTGTTCTGATAAGACACTGTTACTCAAAATATTTCAACGAAACCACTTGAGTAAGGGTGTTTTGTTCAGAATTAAAGCAATATACATTTTTTTTTTTTAAAAAAAAACTAGGCTCAGATGGTTTCCACTACAGGTCTGGACCTTCCTGAAGAAAACAGCTCTTTTTGTTCTCCAACTGGAATGCTGAGCATAATGTGACTTCCTGCATGAAGCCTTCCTTCCATGTTTGACTGTCTCTTGGTTATAGTATTTTCCTGCCTTCTACAATAAAAGTTACTCTGACTGTAACTTTGTTGCTTGTATACTTAAGATTTATATTGATATTGATTGTGTCCTAGTATGATTTGATTGCTTATTTGTACCCTATGACTATCATTAAGTGTTGTACTTTATGATTCTTGACGAATGTATCTTGTCTTTCTATGTACATTGAGAGTATATGCACCAAAGACAAATTCCTTGTGTGTCTAATCATGCTTGGTCAATAAAGAATTCTATTCTATTCTATTCTATTCTATTCTATTCTATTCTATTCTATTCTATTCTATTCTATTCTATTCTATTCTATATTTTTGGTAGAAATGCCACAATTCTAAACATGTTTGCATTAGAAACTATTCCAAATAAGCCTGCAAAAAGGCAACACAGTTGTCCTAAATACTGTATTTCCCTTGCATTTGTGAATCCTTTGTTTTGCTGATATAGGATCATTAATAAGCAGGTCAGCAGTACTTAAATCTTCAGAAAGGATTCCCAGTTCCTATTTTCAGAGAATCCAGTTTTAAAAAGCTGAGAATCTTACTTGATTATGAAGCCTTCAACACATACACAAGAATGCTGAAATCCTGCAAGATTTCACATGACATTTTGTGAATGTTTAGTAGATTTTTTTTTTTTGAGGTGGTGGTGTGGATAGATGACATATAGAAAAGTCTGGTCATCTTTTTCTTAGTAAGATAATTCCAAAGAGGCTAGTTATCTTTTGCTCCAAAACCCAAATATGTTTTATTTGAAGGATGTTTAATAACATCCTTCCAGTACTGATTTTGTTAGCCACAATTTAAGCATGCGAGAAAGAAAGGGGTGGATGTTGAAATCCCCATTCATCTGCATCATGGTAACACTTAAAAATATCTGATTGGCACTGAAATCATATATATTCTGCTAACATCCTTTGAAAATCTAGGAGAATGAAAAAAATCAGTACTGAATGCCTCTCTTTGATGTTACCAAGAAGTGACATATATGTTTTTTTTTTTAAGATGATAGCTGGAAAATCTCAGGACAAGATACTGCTTGAAAGGCACGTCTCTGCTTAGGAGCTTGTATGTGGGCGGGAAAGAGCGGGACCTTCTCAGCTGATGTCCTCAGGCTGTGGAAAAAGCTCCCTGCTGAGAGACATAAATATTCAGTTCTGCTTTGCGTCAAAGACCTTGTCTTTAATGCATTTCTACTTGGCTTTTTAAGATGATTGTTGTTTCGCTGCAGTGTTGGATCTGTTGGCCTTCATCTCTGAGGATTTTTTTTAAAAGTGAGAATGGGGAAAAACAAGCAGCATTGCTCCTTCCGTTACAAATACTGATACAGATGTCATTCTGCGCCTCAATAAAAGTTCAGAAGTAATGCTATCCATTTCAGGAAATTATACATTGGCTAGATCTGTTGGCCTTCATCTCTGAGGATTTTTTTAAAAGTGAGAATGGGAAAAACAAGCAGCATTGCTCCTTCCGTTACAAATACTGATACAGATGTCATTCTGCGCCTCAATAAAATTCAGAAGTAATGCTATCCATTTCAGGAAATTATACATTGGCTAGATTGGAACCTCGCTTTTTATCAAAATGGAATTCTGTTCCCCACATTCATCTCTTGGCTATAGCTTATCATGTGAGATTTTCTGATTAGAGTGAGATGGTTTGGAGACTGTTACTTTAGGGATATGTGTAGTGTGGAGGGAAAGAGAAGCCAAGCCAAACCATGCGCCATATTTTAAGTGTGCCATTAATAACATTTAATTGATTGATTGATTGACTGATTGATACCTTTGAATCAGGGTTGGTTCCTACCAACTTCCTGGACTACTGCCTGCATTTTTTAAATTTTTAGAATTTTTAGAATTTTAGATTTTTCAGAAACGGGTTGCCACAGCATTCTTTTTGGGTCAAGAGAGAGTGACTGGCTCAAAATCACTGAATTGTCTTCTTGCCTCAGAAGTGATTAGAACTCACAGTCTCCCAATTGTTAACCTGGTACCTTTAACCACCACACCAAACCGTCTTTCACAACATATTTGACCATTATATTTTCCAAGCAATCTTGCCGGATCACAGCTTTTTTAAAAAACAACAATTGCATATTGTTTGACAATCAGGAGTGCATTTATGTCATATAGATAATCCTCAGTTTACAACTCAAAAGTTGAGCCCAACATTTTTGTTGCTAAGTAACACAATTGTTAAATGTGTTTTGCCCTATTTTATGACCTTTCTTGCCAAAGTTGTTAAGTGAATCACTGCAGTTGTTAAATTAGTAACACGGTTCAGTGAATCTTACTTCCCGATTGATTTTGCTTGTCAGACGGTTGCAAACGGTGATCACATCAGTGGTGGGTTTCAAAATTTTTTACTACCGGTTCTGTGGGTGTAGCTTGGTGGGCATGGCGTGGCTTGGTGGGTATGGTGGGGGAAAGATACCATAAAATCTCCACTCCCACCCCACTCCAGGAAAAGGATACTGCAAAATCCCCATTCCCTTCTGATCAGCTGGGACTCAGGAGGCAGAGAATAGATAGGGCGGGGCCAGTCAGAGGTGGTATTTACCAGTTCTCTGAACTACTCAAAATTTCTGCTACTGGTTCTTCAGAACTGGTCAGAACCTGCTGAAACCCACCTCTGAATCACATGACTCTAGGACCCTGCAACTGTCATAAATAGGAGCCAGTTGCCAAGCAACTGAATTTTGATCAAGTGACTGCAGGGATGCTGCAACAGTTATGTGAAAAGCAGTCATAAGTCACTTTTTTCAGTGCTGTTGTAACTTTGAACAATCATTCAACGTAGTGTTGTAAGTAGAGTTTCTACCTGTAATTGGTCATATGGTGTCTTTGGCCTGTCAGAGCAAACATGTCTTGATTTAGTTGTGTGTTTGGGAATTTGGCCCTTGGGATTGCTAAGTGATCAGTGTGAAACAAAACTGCATATCCAGCTTTTGGGGAGAAGAAAAGAAAAGAAGACCTCTGATAATGACAAACAAATAAGGTCCTTGGGCGTGATCCATTTCTTCGTATCAGGCATGAGGAACTTTCCTCTCCCTCTTCACTCTTTGGGGAAAGTAAGTTAATCAGCCTGACAAAAGGGATGCTCCACTTTCTGACAAGTTAATTGGGTTACATGTACCGCAAGACTAACTGCCATAACACCCGCTGAACTCATTCCTGCCAAAGATTTGTTCTCTTAATATCTTTCATTGCGAACGCTCTATTTTAGGAGGAGTTTTAAAACACACACATATATTCCACCACACTGTATCACTAAGTCCCCAGGAATTTTAAACGTCTGTCAAATTTCTACATTAATTAAATGCACTTAAAGTGAAATGGATTGGGAGCAGATTCCAAACCAGGAATAGTATGTTCTTCATGTGTGGCAAATGAGATTTATGGAATCTGTGGCAACATAAAGGAATGACCAGTATTGTGATGGCTTTAATAGGAACTATAATTACCATGTTGTCATTGTGATTATATGCAATATTCAGGTTCGGAATCTCTGAATGGAGCTGGGAAACAATTGCAAAAGATGATTGGGGTCTCTAAAATTTGGTTACAGGCTTTGTGGAGGCATCTGGTTGATACACACACCCTTGATTATTTCAGTTAAATCTTAGCTCTGATCCTTTGGTGATTATAGATACAGTATGTCTGCAACATTCTTTTTTTTTTAAAACCCTATTCCTTAAATGTTTAAAATTATTTCAGTTTAAATTTGGTACATGTGAAATTGAAGGTTCATCACCAATGGGGCAAATCTGATGCAAATTACTTAAGATAATGATGATCTTGACAAAATATGGACATTTAAAAATGTAGGTGTATTTTAAGATATTAAGACCTTTTTCTCCCTATGGAAAACTTTAATTTTTGGTCAAAAATTCCAAATAATTTCCAGCTATTTACTAGGGAACAATAAGAACAAGTTCTTCAATACCTCAATGGGGCAGAAAACGTAGTCCATTTAAGGAGAGCCAACTGCTGCACTATACAGTTGGCCATGTCAAAACATACCTCTAAAGATAATTTAAACTCAAGAGGAGTAAGTGACTGTAGCTTTCATGCAGTCCCAAACCCTATTGTGCAGAATATTGTGTGCCCCCAAAGCAATCGTGTCTGGAAGTGAGAGAAAGAGGAGAGAGAAAACCAACTCTAAAATATAGAGAAGCTTAATAAAGATTATAGTTACATGGAGATGGATTCTTATGACGAACCTGGCTTGGAGGAGGAGGAAGAATAGAGAGATGGGCTGTGTGGGGCGGAGGAACTAGAGAAGAAAAAGAAAGACAATAAAATAAAGTGGCCAGAAAGACCCCTGAAAAAAAAGGATATCAATAATTTCCAAAAGCCTTGGGTGACAAGAAGATGGTTCTCAACTGCCTGTAAAAGCAGAGTAGTAGCTGTATAGGTGATGGTGGTTTATTTATTGCACACCAGTGGTGGGATTCAAATTTTTTTACTACCGGTTCTGTGGGTGTGGCTTGGTGGGTGTGGCATAGCTTGGTGGGTGTGGCTTGGTGGGCGTGGCAGGGGAAGGATGCTGTATCATCTCCATTCCCATCCCACTCCAGGGGAAGGTTACTGCAAAATCCCCATTTCCTCCCGATCAGCTGGGACTCGGGAGGCAGAGAATAGATGGGGGAGGGGCCAGTTAGAGGTGGTATTTACTGGTTCTTCGAACTACTCAAAATTTCCACTCCCAGTTCTTCAGAACTGGTCAGAACCTGCTGAATACCACCTCTGTTGCACACTTGTGCAGTTCAGACACAGAATAAAACCACAAGTGATACAATAACACAGTGCAGTCAATTGCAGCATCAAATTATGAAGATGAGCATTATCCTTTTGCAAAGATCATGTACCACAGGAGCTTGACTGTCTAGGCACCCTGAAAGCTCATCTCTCACCACATTCTGAGGTGACAATCTCAAGGGCCAAAATTTCCCTCCCTCTAAGGAAAACGTTGGAAGAATGTACAGTCCCAAAGGTGCTTTTCCAAAAGGCAACTGGACTTCCTCTTTTTTCTTCTTCTTTGAAAACATTTTGCTTCCTGTCCAAGAAGCTTCTTCAGTTTCTTAGACAAGAAGTGAAACGTTTTCAAGGAAAAAACCCAAAAAACTCCAGTTTTTGGAAAAGCACCTTTGGGAAAAACAATGACCTGAATGATTGAAAATCTTCATAGACAAGATTGTACAGTATGGCAATAGGGGAATTACAACATGATTGACTTCAAAAGGGCAGTTGAGGTCATCAAGTCCAACCCCCTTTTCCATGGAGGAATCTAAATGAAAGCATTCCTGTCAGATGGTGTCTAAATTCTGTTTCAACACAATATGTGAAGGAAAACACATCACTTTTCCAGATAATCAGTTCAACTCTTGCTTTTACTGTTGTGACAAGTTGCTCTGCCCACCAACACATTCATACTGACATGCCTAAACAGTTCTTGGCTTTGTAAATCATAATTTCCATCTCTTTCAGAAAGGAAATTCAAATGATGGCCCTTTTCCTGAACTGGTGAGCAGATGGTTCGTGCTGAATAGGAAAAAAAGTGTATTTACATTCTAAGCTGTGGGGCCAAACTCAAGTGGAAGTATATTTTATCTTCATCAATAAAATTATTACCTTTTGGGTGTCTCTGCACCACACTTTTAAACTCCTTCTGTTCTCTGCTCAAGTTGGATTGTCACGAAACCAGATTAAGAAAAACCTGTCTGGATGGAGAAATGTTGGAAATTGTCTCATTGACAATTCCCTTGCTGCTGTGCCCACCAACAGGCACATACATATAAAAATGTATAGGATATATACTGATACATGCACATACATAGCCACATGCACAGAAATAAAGTTAAAGCATTTGAATGTATTATGCAAATATAACAACCACCTTTAAAACAGACTTCTTCTTTTTGTGTTTTCTCTGGTTTTCTTGAATAGCATCTACTGCAGATTCTACTCTCCCTTACTAAGAAAATGATTATAATCCTTGCCTTAAATGCAGAACACTCTTGGTTTAAAGAGTGTTGGTTTAAAGTCCTGGAGAAATATATCTATATACCATGTTTTCCGAAAAATAAGACCCTGTCTTATATTTTTTGAACCCTGAAATAAGCACTTTGCCTTATTGCCATGCGCTCAAAAGCCCGATTGGGCTTATTATCAGAGGATGTCTTATTTTGGGGAAAACAGGGTATTTCAATTTGCTATTTTTCTTTCCTGAGCTACCTAGTGTCATCCGTAGTGTATCTGACACCTGGCATGAATAACTTTTTAACACCTCCCCCCTCCTTTATTGCTGAGAGCCAGTTTGGTACAGTGGTGAAGGCATCAAACTAGAAGCCAGGAGACTGTGAGTTCTAGTCAAAGTCTATTAGCCGTACATCCGGCTGAGTAATCATGGACTAGTTACTTATCTCAGCTTTAGGAAGAAGGATCTGGCAAGCCACTTCCCAAAAATGCTGCCAAGAAAGCTTTAGGAGGGCAGTTATAGCAACGCCCTCCATTACCTGAACTTAGGAGCAGAATGTTTTCTACCCATCCACTCTCCTTTGCACACCACTGCTTGGCTTTTGAACTGTTGACTTAATAAGTCAATCAATTCATTATTTTACCCCTCACTGGTAACTTATTAAAACAAACAGCTTCCCCCCAACATCCAGATTACTTACCTGGGTGTAAGCCCACAAGGAAAGTCCAAAGTTGTAGACTGGTTTGGGAAATCAAAGAATCCCAAAATAATAAAGTCTATAAGCCTACTTCCTTATTGTTGCCAAGATAACATACCATATTCGTGTAGACATCAGAAACGGTGTTAATTTTAAGGGAGGCTTTACCTTTCTGTAATGTTTAAAACATACAGTACAAGGTTGATTTGTCACCTTAATGTGTAGATTTTTCTATTTCAAACTCTGATTGGTACGAAAGTTGCACTGGAACTTCTTAGCAAACAAGAATAATGTTTACTTTTAATCAAAAGACATAACTTCTTAAAGAAGTTTAGAAAAAAAATCTGGTTATTATTTGTAAATTTCAATCTTCCTTTCTCTGTGAAAAGTTCTCCCCTGTGTATGTGATCTGAGAAGCATCATCCTCCCTTCTGTCAATAACTTTAGCAAATGTTGTGAAGTTCTCTGTAGCAATTACATCCACATACTTAAGCTACCACATTGGGCTTTCCTTTACACCGCATTCATTAGATTAAGAAACATTTTTACCACTGGGCTCATCTTTTTACTGAACATATGTTTGGAGTATGAAGGGCCAGATTTTGAAGCCTTAATAGATAAAGGTTAAGGTTCCCTTCGCACATATGTGCTAGTTGTTCCCAACTCTAGGGGGCGGTCCTCATCTCCGTTTCAAAGCTGAAGAGCCAGACGTCTGCGTGGTCATGTGATTGGCATGACTAAAAGCCAAAGGCGCATGGAACGCTGTTACCTTCCCACCAAAGGTGGTCCCTATTTTTCTACTTGCATTTTTTCCGTACTTTCGAACTGCGAGGTTGGCAGAAGCTGGGACAAGTAACGGGAGCTCACCCTGTTACGCGGCACTAGGGATTCGAACCGCTGAACTGCCGACCTTTCGATCGACAAGCTCAGCGTCTTAGCCACTGAGCCACTGCATCACAGCTGTCTTATTTTAAAAATAGAAAATACCATAATCATAATTTTATTGTTTTGAGTTAAATAATCCTACAAACCCGCTCTCAAAAATGACTGTATAGTAGAAAATTGCAAAAATTGCTATATGGCACTAATGGAAAGTAACTGGGCATAGTCATATACTGCAAGCTTTGACTTCAATAAAGATCCTAGCAATCTCTTCTTCATACAGCAATGTATCTGTCCCGATCCAGATCAACCGATGAATTATTGAGCTTCATCTTACGAATCTTGAGTTCAATTCATTGTTTAGTCATGCAATCAGATAGGCCGATTTGGAGCAAATCATTATTATTCTGTCTGAACTTTCTTATTTGCAAACATAGATAGAATGAAATATTTGTTTTGTCCTATTTGTCTCAGTACAGTGTTCCATATTTATTTGTTGAACAAATGGATGGCAATGTTTCCTTGAAAATATTCAATGTTTGAAGGTTATCAGAAACATCGTGCATTGGTTTACAATCAAACAGGGATGCCAAGGCTGCAAACATTTGGTAGGACTCAGAAACAGTGAGCAATGTGGCTGTTTTTGTTTGCTGCGCCGATTTTACAAGCCATATTCATAGCACATTGTGCATATACTAGTCACAATGGCTAAGCTAAAGTCATTATGCTATTATTTCCTTGGTTGTGTCTCAGTTTGCAATGGGTGAATCCAAGTATTGTATGTATAAACATGGCTTAGCATAGACAAACTTATTTTGATGTATAGATGAAGATCTGGCCCTAAATCCAGATATCCTTGCTTCCATAACTTTAAACCTATTTTTGTGGAGCCCTTCCCTGCCTGTCAAACTATGTTTTGAAACAGAACATTGTACTTATATAATGATGCAACACAGATCTCTCTTTCTCTCTCTCTTTCTCTCCCTCCCTCCCTCCCTCCCTCTCTCTCTCCCTCTCTGTCTCTCTGTCTCTGTTTCTCTCGCTCCTATCATCTGTTTCAAGCACCATCTAATGGCTGAAAAGCAAATTGCAGCTTCTGCTGCTAAACAGCTGCAAAGTACTGTATTCATCTCAGTAGCTCAGTGTTGAATGCCTTAAGTTTGAAAATTCAGGATTTCAGTCCTTCCCCCAAATAAAAGGCTGGAAGTAGAATGCCACCATTTCTTTACTTAGGGCTTTGGTGATCAATCTACAGAAATGCATTTCACTAACTAGTAAATTTTCATTGCAGAGACATCACACATAGCTCTGTCAGGTAAAAAGCTCCCCCCCCATACCTGCCCATTCTAGAAGGTTCTTCAGCTAAAATGTCTGAAGGGAATTATTTGAAATGAGATACCATGTTTTTCTGATCCCCTTTTCCCCCCTTACATTCCATATACAGGATTGTACTTCCCACTTTTCAGATCTGGGTTTCAAAAATGTGGTAATCACTAGGTGGCAGTGAAGGAATACATAAAACTCTCACTGGTCACTGACATCTAATGGCCAACTTGATTTTTTCGGCCGAGATCTAGTAGGCCTTTCATTTTTCTTGGTATCCCCTTCTAAACTTTGCCCCATTTACTGGGTTGGGTAGTTTTTCTGAAGCATACAGTTAGACGCATAGTCTTTTTCTGGAGACTTCAATTCCTTGATACTATGCCACTGATTTTCTGTGAAAAATCACTGAAAATTACTTCTGTAGAATCCAAGAAGAACAAAGCTGCAATCAGTTAAAGTGAAGTCTGATCGACTGTTGTGCAAAACAACAACCTTGTTTCCCTGGATTCAGTAGGACTGAGATCTACTAAATTTAACTGCATCATGATTAAAATATATGATGTTTTGATTTTAGGCTGCAATATAATAAGATCTCTCTCTCTCTCCACCCACCCTCACCTTTTTGAGCTCCAGAAGATTGATTTTCAGTGGGCAACAATAAGTGGAGAGAAAGAAGAAAGAGATATGATTGTCCAAGATAATCCTACTAGCCTGTTCCCAGATCCTACTGAGTTATAGGTCTTCCATGTTGTCCTATTCTTGCCAGTGAAAATTGATAAAAGCTTCTGTCTCATGCATATCCCTAACATTAAAAGGGTCCACATTTCTACTAGTAAAAGGGACAAGCATTTTTTTTAAAGCTTGCCTTAAAAGTTGTATACATTTTGATTCCAGCATGTGCACTTTTATTTACAATTTTGCCTACAGTTTCCCTACTTTAATACATTCATGTGCATCAATTTCACAAATGTAAGGAAGCTTGTGCCAATGTTTCCTTAATGTACTTTCTTTTGGCTATTAATACAGAAAATCCTTCCAGCTACCAGATACCTAAGAGTGATACAAAAATCCCAAATGAGACAAATCACAGCATTACTGTGCCTTGAAAAGTTAAAAAACAAAACAAAACAAACCTAACTTCCATACACCAAAGCAAAGCATAGACTAGTCACAACAAGTCTCGTAATGATGCTGGGTAACAGGGCTGCTACTGAAGAGTAAACAATACTTTTGTTTATGGACTGTGCCCATTTGCTGCAAACAAAGTATTTCCATTTACTTTTTTAAAAGTATGTTGCTCTTTATTCTGAGGAAGTGCCGGACTTTGAAACCGAATGGTTAAATCTTTCTTTGGAAATGGTCAATGTAAAAGTATGGTCCTAAGAAATCAAATGACAGGTATGGATGTTTGGCATATGTCACTCCATCTGTTCTGGAAATGATGTTGGTGTTGGCATTACTCTTTGCTGTCGAAAGTGAACTTATTCAAAGCTGTACTTCTTTTTTTTTCTCTCTCTCTCTTCCTCCTCCAGCTCCTCTCTTGCTTGAGCTGTTTATATGTAAAGATATTTGTAAACCACTTAGTTTCACTCAGTGATGAACAATAGAAAAGCTAAAACATAGCAAGGCAATTTAATAAAACTAGTAAAACAGTTTAATGCAATAAATATTAAATCCAGCCCCAAACCAGAGGATGGTTCTGAGCTAAAAGATACAATAAAGATTTAAAGATCTCAAATATACACCATAAAGAGCCGAGATGTTGCAATGGTTAGAATGCAGTACTGCAGGCTACTTCAGCTGATTGCTAGCTGCAGTTCAGCAGATCGAATCTCACCAGGTTCAAGGTTGTCTCAGCCTTCCATCCTTCTGAGGTAGGTAAAATGAGGACCCAGATTGTTGGGGGCAATATGCTAACTCTGTAAACCGCTTAGAGAGGGCTGTGAAGCACTATGAAGCGGTATATAAGTCTAAGTGCTATTGCTATTGCTAAAAGTGTCTGAGTCTCAGGAAGGACATACTGGGGCTGTCATACAAGGTATTCTTTCAGCACCAGTCTGGGAGACCATGAGTTCTAGTCTCGCTTTAGCCATGAATGCTGAACTTGGGTCAGTTACCCTCTCTTAGCCCAACTCATCTCACAGGGTAGCTGTTGTGGGGACAGTAAGAGAAGGAAGGTGTGTTGGGCATATTCCCTGCCTTGACAGAATGGCAGGGGCTGGCAGAGGTGGAGGGCTGGCAGCAGCCCTCCTTAACAGTCCCAGTTTCTCATGCGGCACTTTGGGAAAATTAATTACCCACCCCTGGCTTATACTATACAGACAGAATCTTGCCAGACTAAATCTATACTACCCTAACCTAATAGATATATTTTGAGAAATTCTAGGGAGTTGCTATCCTAAATCTCAACTACTTCTGGTGATTCAACTCTTATCTCACCTCCCTCTTTGGAATGTTCTTCTTCTTTCTTGGGAGTCTACTGCTTTACCGTAGATCATCACAACGAGTATCATATTGTGCAATGGATCTTTTTAATAGAAGAAATTATCAAATTAAAACCTTATACAGCAATTACTTTTACAACTAAACTAATTTGCTCACAATAGAGGTAGTCTTGGTTGTTTCCTGCAGTGTTCTTCTATTTTGTTTAATATTTCAAAATTTATTTCGGATCTTTTTTTATATGTTTCCCTTAATTGGTGTGGCCTTTTCACTGTCTTTTGAAGAGCTTAGATACTTTATGACACTGGAGAGTTAGCATTAGACAAGGAATCTTAAGTGTGGCAGATTTTCAGTTTGCCTTACAGTTGTGCAGATAGCAACAGCACTTAGAAAGTAAAAGTGAGAAAACGTCAGTATAAAATTCTAATTGCAAGAATGTACTAATTGAATTCAGTAAGACTTGCTCCCCTCCCCTCCCTCAAGCAGAATACAAAAAAGAAAAAAACTTCGTAGACTTCACACAATAAAGCAAGCTGCTATGTTCTAGGAAAATTTAAATATTCTAGCAAGGACATTTTTTGGGAGATGTTTTTCTCCTTCGTTGTTGAACTTTTAATATGGGTCTATCAAACATCATTTTATGTAAACTACTACACACTTTCTAGGTTGTTTCAAATACTATCCACAATTTATTTCAGACTGGAGTTAAGTGGATCATGTATTTGTGAAAAGATTCCTATACAAAATTAAGTTGGAGAGTGCATTTATTTTGGAGTAAACACAAACACCACATGGTATTCATTCATCTCGCTTATTATTAATTCAGAAGTAAATATAAGGTGGAACAAATGATATAAATTTTTTCAACTTGTACTGCTTCATTCTCTTCACATACTATTCACTTCTAAAGGTAGAAGAGCTTAGGTTTTGAGGGGGGTGGGTAGGCAGTAGGCCACTAATCTATTTCCTGAAGAATATTACCATTTATTGGGGCATTCTTTAGGGCATTTATTGGGGCATTCTTAAAACAAAATGGCAGCCTTTACTGTCAGATATTTCCCTGAATGCTATTGGATGTTGCAATCTATGGGGTAATTCTAAGGGGGGAAATGCTGATAGCAGAATCATCTGTTCCACTACTATTGTCCCTACATAATGGCAGGAATAGAATGAGAAAACAGCAACATAACCTGAAATGAATGGAAGACTAACAAACAAATATGAACATTGTTTTTATGAGGGACATACAAAATAAAAGTGTAATAATGAAAACAATAGTACATTGGAGGAATGGAGGGTGAAGATGAGAGAATTAGGAGAGATGGCAAAATTGACTTGTTTGATTAATGAAAGGACAATAACTGCATTTATTAGTGACTGGGAACCCCTTATAGTTTTTTTTTTTTGCTGAAAAGAGAAAAAAATGAAATTGTGATTTATGGGTTTGATTATTAGAAAAGGTAAGACTATGGAAAGAAGGAAATTACAAGAGCCAATCTGGATCAGTCACTGGGATCGGAGGTTTAGTCTTCTGAGCTTTTGGACTCATGCTGGAGCCCATCCTCAGGGAACTTCTTTCTCACCCCAATTAGAGAGACACATCCTAGTGAGAGAGAAGTTCCCTGAGGATGGGCTCCAGCATGAGTCCAAAAGCTCAGAAGACTAAACCTCCGGTCCCAGTGACTGACCCAGATTGGATCCTGAAACATTATCCTGGGACATGTATATCTACCTTCATTTGTGAGAAGGAAATTATGTTGTAGCCTTAAAAAGAGAGAGATGGTAAAATATAAATGTGCTTGTAACTATTGTTAACAAGGCAGGAAGCTGCTTCTTTATAACCTTTTCTTTTTTCTTGTGGTTCTCTATTTCTTTCTATTTTTTCACTGACTTATTGCTTTTCTTTCCTTACTCTTCTCTTTCAAAATTTATCTGGTTTTTATTCTTTTACAATTTCTTCAAGTAAAAATTACATATTAAAGATAGTAATGGGAATAAACAATAGTGTGGTGTAGTAATTAAGATTTTGGTCAAGATCCAGGGGGTATGTACAGTAGGTTCACATCTACCCTTAACCATGGGCAAGAGTTATACTGTAGGTTTTATTATTTTCATTTATATAACTTTTCATCATTAGAAGCTTCCTTGGCTTGAAATTTCCTCAATCTGAAAAGGGAGAGGAGGTCTCTCATGAAGTCTTGTGTTAGGGTTTAACTGAAATATGAAAAATGGCTCAGACTACTAGAGGCTGAAGTCAGGTTTTTCAAATTCACTATTTGGCCATCTTGTAAATAAGTAAGTGAAAGTTTTCCAACATTATTTTCTTCTGTTAAAGAAATATCAGAAGCACAGACACTTTCACCAAACTGAATGAGAACTGGCATGTTTCTTTCTTCTTCTCCTTCTCCTCCGCCTCTCTCCATCTCAGTCTCCATTGCCGTCTCCCTCCCTCCCTCTTCCCCCTCTCTTTTTGTGACTTCACTGATCATACTGGTATGCATATACTGTCATCTATCATCTATCTATCTATCTATCTATCTATCTATCTATCTATCTATCTATCTATCTATCTATCTCTATGTCTACCTGTATGTCTATGTCTATCTATACAAATGTATATACATACACACATACATACACAGCATACTTCTGGTCTTCTAGAAAGTTGGGCAAAGGTACAATGAGCATCACAATATACATGCTGAAAACAAAAGGTGTTGACATGATTTCTAACACAGCATAACAATCAAGCTTTGTTTTAGAGAAATTAAGAGAGGTTATATAGCCAAAATATATAATCACTTGAGTACATTTCCCAAAATCAGAACAAGAAAACAGGTTTCAACAAATCCAGCCTTCTGTTATAGCCCAAGGATAAGTTGGAAGATGTATTCTGAATTCAAAACATTTCTACACGTAACATGAAGAGCAGTTGTTGTTTCTCCACTTTTCATGTTCCGTTGAAAGACAAGAATCTGATCTTTTTGTTGCCTGTCAGAAACTATTTTGGGAGCATCCTGTCCTATTTGCTTTTAAATAGCTCTGAACCAACTCAGTTCATTAACTCAGAAAGATATGCCACTTAGGTAAGTCACCTTGGCTTGAATCCACCAAGTTGTTAAATCTCATTGAAATCAATCAAGCTTGCCTTAGTTTCTCATAACTAATTTGTCCCACTGGGTTCAATGGGGCTTAAGTGTGACTTACTTTCACTTCACTGAAGTGTAAAATTAAAACATGTCAAATCTCATTGCCTCAAGAGCGATATTGTTTCTCCATCTATTTAAATGTATTTGAGCTCAGGTGGCAATGCGCAGTAAACTCCTCTATCAAAGAAATCTGATTGGAACTTTTATTTTTAAAAATTTCTATGCAGCAGAGTGAGAGCCCTTCCACAGGGACCAGAATCAAATTGAGACTTTCCCAAAGCCACCTGAGAACATCAGTAGTAAGAAAACTCACACGAAGGCAAACAGCTTTGAATTTGCTTATTTGCATGTGCAGGAGAAAAAGAAGGAATACAACCTGGATTTGAAGCCACAGGGATCTTGGGAAATAGTCATGAACTCTACCAACAGTGTCTTTGGTGTGGTATGGTGGATCTTGCACAAAGTTGCTTATACCTCAGGGTTAGTTTCTCAAGTGAGTGGTTACATTTTTAAAGGGTTTGCCTTATCATAAAAACAACTCCTTCTGCTTCAAACAATGTCTTCTGTATGTATCTTTGTGATTTAAGAAAGGCCACACATTTCTAAAGACCATGGCTTTCACAGAAATTGTCCATCAGACAAAAAGAATTCCTTTATCATTTTCAACTCTGTAAACCTCCTTGCCTCCATTAATCTAAGGCTAGGATGGCTGGTCCTTACAACAAGGGCAACTTGTTTACCACTATCTCATTTTAACCCAAACAAATGGAAAATATCACTATTCAAAGGAACACAGTGTCTGTACCTCAACAGTAGGAAACCTCATTCTCTTAGACAATTATTTTTTTATTATTATTATTTATTAAAATTTTATACCGCCCTTCTCCCGAAGGACTCAGGGCGGTGTACAGCCAAGATAAAAAACCAACAATATAAAAGTTAAAAACAATTTAAAATTATTAAGTAGTTTGGCCAACAATCTAAAATAAAATAACCCATTAAAATAATATTTTAGGCCAGCTCTGCTTGATAGAATAATAGTGTTTTAAGGGTGCGGCGAAAGGTACGAAGGTCGGGAATCTGACGAATATCTGGGGGCAGCTTGTTCCAGAGGACAGGTGCCCCCACAGAGAAGGCTCTTCCGCTGGGGGTCACCAGTCGACACTGTCTAACCGACGGCACCCTGAGGAGACCCTCTCTGTGGGAGCGTACTGGTCAATGGGAGGCTATCGGAGGCAAAAGGCGGTCTCGTAAGTTTTGTGCAGCAACATGCTTGGGGAAGTTCAAACAGGTCAAGATGAGGACAATCAAAGCCTTACCTGTTTATATGCATTGTGATTCATGTAAAAAAGGAGCTGGAGATACATTTCCCATCTTCCTCCAACTCCTTTCCCCTCCACTTTACTCAATTTTAATTCCTTTAGAATGATTTCCACAAGAGATGGAGGAATGGCTGCTTGACTGTCTTCTCCGGCACAGCTTCAGCAAGACATTATGAACTTGCTATTTTGAGTGTCCAGAAGTTCTTGGCTTAGCATTTCCCACCATCAGTAGATATTGCTGGCTTAGTCTCTTGGCTTGAAGGCTAGAGTTGACTTCTTTCTTGGCTTTTTGATTGAAAACTGCTGCTTGTCAGGAAGATCCCAGACTGTAAGGATCATGTAGTTAACACCTTCTGCATATTCAGTGTTGGCTGTGGGCCATAAAGTAGGACAGTGACATTTTGGAATTTGAAAGGTTGGTCTACACCAGAGGTGGGGAACTATGTCCCCTTTATGCCTTGTGGACTTCAACTCCCAGAATTCCTGAGCCAGCCATGCTAGCTCTAGAATTCTGGGAGTTAAAATCCGCAGGTCATAAAAGGACCATAGTTCCCCATCTCTGGTCCTGAGGCCACATACAGCATCCCTTTTCATAGGGACACTTATCTGAAAGGATAGCTGGCTGATAGGCTGGGCTGCCAACTACTGTATGAAAGCTTCACCATTGTGCAGCAGGGGGAAGAGACCACAAAGAGTACAACTTATATTGTCGCGAAGAAAAGGAAGGGGAAAAAAAATTAAACTGAAGCACGTTTTCTTGGCGACTAGGATAGAGAAGTTGCACCGTTCTCCAAACTTAATGAAATCAAACGAAAGCAAACTCAGGGTAATGCCTTGGATGCATTGCTCAGCAGGGCCAACATTGTGGTAAATAGACACTTCACCCTGTGAGCCACCGGGGTTAATATAGTGCTCTCTGGAACAGAAAGAACAAAGCATATCCTGAATGTCAATTTTGTAGGCCATGCAAGTGTCATCGGTAACATGATAACATCTGCCAGAGAGCCTGGTGCCAGCGCATACTTTTTGTTCCTCCAATTGCAAGCTACAAAAGCACAGCTGCGAGGCTACTGAATTTCAGGATTGTAGGTTTGCAACTTGTGAATTTGTCATTCGTCATTCCGCTTTGCTGATATTTGCTGAGAGCTGGAGCTGTTGCCTTGACTTTATCTTGTTTTCTCTAGGTTCCTGCTTTTTTAAAAAAAATGTCTATTAGGGAAACTAGAAACAAACAAACAAACAAAAAATACTGTGTAGATATAATTTGGTCCACAATCTTGTTCTTTATTTATTATTGAAATGTTTATGTGCTGGTCAATGACAGAACTGAGGAGCCTAACATAAGAGACGAATATTGGTCACCCTCCCATTTTGTTGAGTATGAAATCTTTAAAGAAGAAACTATTATTTTTTTAAAAAAAAGTAAAGTTCCAGTCATCTCAAATGCTACAGAAAAAGAAAAGTTATTAATGATGATTTGATGGACATACCCATGCAGTTTTCTTGGCAACAGCATGTGATGTGCCTTTTTTCCAGAGTATCTTTTTGCCTTCCAGTGGTTTAGTTCACAGCATTGGTAATACCTCCAGACAAAATCTCCTAGGTTTCCAAATTTGGACTAAGTTAGCCAGGTGATTATTAGGGCAAATCTTTAAAAGGTCCTTTGAATGACTGTTTCAGGACCTCTATAAAGTCCCCAAATGATCTGCTCCTATTGAATGTCTATGGCTCCCCCCTTCCTCCTCCCCTCCCCCCTCCCTCCCTTCCCTCTTTCCCTCCCTCCCTCTCCTTCCCTTCCTCCTTCCCTCTCTCCTCTCCTCCCCTTTCTTTCCTTCTATCCTTCTTTCCCTCCCTCCCCCTTCCCCTCTCTGTCCTTTCTACTCTCCTCCCCTTTCCTTCCTTCCTTCCTTCCTTCCTTCCTTCCTTCCTTCCTTCCTTCCCCTATCTCACATAAGTGACTCTGGCAGCTGACAGCAATTAAAACTTTCAGCAAAAAAATACCACAAGCAACTAACAAAACTTATGAAACCATGCTAAGAACCATGATGAAAAACATAAAATATATTCAGCAGGAAAGTTGCAAACACATTTACAGCATTCAGTATAACCACTGAATGGGTTCTCCATCATTTATTTAAGTAATCCAACTGGCTTGTGCATGAGATGGGAAGCCACACTACTGGAATGAAGCAGCCAATCAAGTCACTGTGGTTCTAAATTCTTGTGAGAAGGAACAGCTCAGTTAAGTGAATTGACATTGATCTGCACAGATTGCTACTTATATTTTAACTTAGATTTTATTGGACTATACAATGAGTCTTTGTTCTTGAAAAATCTGACTGCAGTTTATAATCTCCCTTAAACTTTTTTTCTTTTCTTTCTAATCCTTGCATATGAACAAACATTTTGGAGGATAGACTACTCTGACTGATCAGTCAGTTTGCCCAAAGCTAATTTTAATTTTGTAATTACATTTATTAAAAATATTTTTTTCATTTAATGACAATCTACTGACAACTAATTTGTTATCCTGGCTTCACTTTGGAGAAATTAATTGGCATATGTGATGGAAATACATTATTGATGATCGATAGCTGTTCACACTGCATTACGGGTATTGTTTATGCTAAGATTTGTTTCCAAAACTTTAGAAAAATCAGGACACCTCCACACAGGTGTATCCAGGAACAACCGCCACTTGTACACACAAATGGGGATATGACTCAGCTAGAGTTTCCAGATGTGCAGTGCACATATATTTAAAATGATGGATAAGCACAGTATGCATATAAAATGTGTATTTTACAGAATGGATAGAGGCAGAATAATTCCTTCATATATTTTCCTACGAGACAAGATACAACAGGTTGAAGACTAAATTCTGGTTTTATGTTTGGGCCCAGGGCCTTAATTTTTTTAAAAAATCACTGGCTCTTTCCTAAGGAATTCCCCTTGGAATTTTATATTTTATTAGAAATATTTACATGTGATTTTTTGCTGAAAATGTATTTGTGAAATCAAAATGGAAAAGTTATACTGACCGGGGGTGGAGAGGTGATATTCATTGAAAAGTTCAACCCTTTGTCTATTTTGATTTATAACACCATATACCACACACAACTATGAAAGGGTCAGGAAAAATAATATCCAGTAACTAAGGATGTGGAAACCCTCTGTCACTTATCTTTACTTTGTTATTTCAACTGAGGAAAAGGAAGGAAGATCCTATTTGTTCTGCAAACAAACAAATAAAAACAAACTAAGTTGGCCACTAGATGACAGCAAAAAGGTACAGAGAACTATTGTTTTTTGTTGCCATCCACTGCTTGTTTGAGGTTTTGCAGTTATCAGGGTGGGAGGCAGAGAGAGAAAACTATTGTGCTAGATCCATAATGGCGAACCTATGGCACGGGTGCCACAGGCGGCACGTGGAGCAATATCGGTGGGCATGCAAGCTCAGCTCCAGCTCGCATGCGTGTGCTGGCCAGCTGATTTTCAGCCCTTCTGGACCCACCAGAAGTCAGGAAACACACTGTTTCTGGCCTCTGGAGGGCCTTTGGGGGGGTGGGGAAGGCTGTTTTTGCCCTCCCCAGGCTCCTAGAAAGGCTCTGGAGCCTGGGGAGAGCAAAAAATGGGCCTACTGGGCCCACCGTGCCATCACATGCCAAAAGCGGGGAGACCACGGGTGGCCACATAGAATTATGGATGTGGGCACGTGTGTGTGTGACCCCACCACGCTCCTCCTGTTTTTGACATGCAATGGCAAAAAGGTTAGCCATCACTGTGCTAGGTTGCATTTTTTAAATAATTGCTTGCTGACCTCAAAGGTTCTTTTTTCAAAAGGAAACTGGACTTTCTCACTTTTTATCTTTGAAAAATTTTCTCATCCAAGAAGCAAAACATTTTTTGGGGGGAAAAAAACAAGAAAATCCAGTTTTGTTTTGTTTTTAAAGCACCTTTGGGACAAGCATGACTGAGATGATTGAGAATCACCATAGACAATTGCTTTCTGAGCAAGTTCTCGTCATGCATAGCTCCAAAATCCAAATGCTGGGTTCCAACATTGTGCCAAGACACACATCATTTATTTATTCGATTTCTATCCTGTTGCATTCTGCTGACTCTCAGCAGCTATAAGGCAAACATAAAAACGCCCAAATGAAAAATATATTGCCAGTCCCCTTGAAATCACAATCCAAATACTCTCTGTTGAGAGGTCCCTTTTCAGTTTCTTCTGGAAACTGGCAAGGGTGGGAGATGATCTAATCTTGAGTGGGAGATCATTCCAAAGGGCTGCTGCTGATATTGAAAAATTGTAATCGTATGTGAGAGAATGACTGAGAGATTGGGGGAGGGAGAGATGCTGCCTAGAGAACAATCAGATGCTGGAGGGAGCCCACAGCTGCATAACAGTCAAAGAAAGACAATCAGAAAGGATCCTCCCTAATTTATCAGTCTGTAAAAAGAGACAGTGGAAGATTTGCACTTTCAGACCTACAATATTCTATTAATGTGTCCTGACATCTCCAAGCATCTTTCCCCTTGACCTCCTTGAAACATGGAACAATCAGCCACTTCTCCTACTAAAATGCAATGGTCAGGCTGCTTTCAGTAAGGAAATATTGTCCTACACCGAGCAGAAAGGATGTTTTCTTCACATCTATATATATATTTCTTGAAGATTCATGAATTAAGCAGGCTGATGTGAAAGAATTCTATTAATTGATACTAATTCAATTAGGTTACAGTTAGGTTATGGATACAAATTTTGGCTAAAAACACTCTGTGGATGAGGCCTTTTAGTAAATCCATTGAAATGCTGTAGGATTTAAGGAAATCACACCTAATTTAATTTCCCTTGATTTCAGCAGATCCCATCCAAATGTTCGCAATCCGTTATTTCGGAGATGTTTAAAAGCTGACTACTATAGTATGTTCCAGTTTCAAGTGCTCATCTTTCCTATTGGCCAACTCCAAGTTGTTTTGAGTAGGACAAGGCCAAGTTCAAATAAATACTGTATGTCTAGATCGGAAAGATTTAACTGTAACAAAATTGGGTGGAACAGAAGGATATCTTTTTATACATTTTTATGTGCAACAGAGGGCTTAAAACTGGCCTTTAAGGAGCTTATACTAAAACACATAATAAATGAATCTGCTCTTAGGCCTTGTTCATTATGTGTATTATTCATAACTTTGCCATTTTATTGATTAACATCCTCTACTTCCCTTCTCCCCGCCCCTGGGATCAGTTCACTGAGCAACCTAACAAGATTTCTTTTCTATTTGGCACAGATTGTGTCTGTTCAAAACACAGCTGCTCAACAGTTAGGGGGAAAAAATTAACATAACTCGACCTGAAGAGAACTGAAATGTTCCACCACTGATCAGTTGGCACTGAATCAAGACAGAACTGCATTTAACATTTTATTATTCCATGGTGGGTTTTTTTTTAAAAAAAAGTGCCAGG